CTTAATGGTGTAATGCAATCATCTGACCCATAGGTGGCAGCCATCTCAAGCCATAGGACGAAAGGACTCTAGCCGCCACGCATATAAAGGATTTATAGTAAAAAACTTTGTTTTTACGGGTTATACTTGTTTTTACATCGTTTCTCAGTTAAATGTTAAGGCGCAGAGACCTTGCAATTGGTTTGCTCGTGTCACTTCTGTCGATAGGGGAACCTGTTAAAAAGTAAAGAATAGAATTGTTGTTTATTTTTAAACATTTATATTTGTACGACAAAGTGCTAACCGGTTTGTAACGGGGTCGTGATTGTTTCTTTTTCATGCGGTTACCCCGTTGATGCACATGAAAGGATGTTAACGACCCTAATTTGAAGGTGGGAAGGGGTCTCAGCAAGGCGGACTAGTGGAGGTTCAGCCGAAAAGGAGCGACCTCCCACACCGAGCGGAGGTGGACTAAGATATTTTACTTTAGTTTAACCCAAAACACCTCTATCATGTAAGATATGTTAACAGAAGTTCGTCGGTGTTGGAGCGGACAAGCGCCACGGTGGCGAGATGTTAACTACGTCGCCTGGTATACAGGAGATCGTGGGTTTAATCACGACATTAAAATAAATGAAACTCAACAGAGACGCACAGAAATAGAGAGAGAGAGAGAGAGCGAGAGAGATCCTCGTAATCGTGGTAACTTCCTCTGTACATTTCCGCCACTGCCTACCCCAGCTTTGTCTTGAATCCACTCAAATGGACACATCACATTTCATCGGCTCATTCCAGCTGGAACCGAATGCCCGCGTCTATATGTAAGTGGGCACGAGACTCATCGATCGGTGCGCATGGTGATGACAGCAGCAGCAGCAGCAATGTGGTTGAGGAGTTCCTTGCCAATGTCGACGTCTTGGTGCTGCTCGCCACGACGAGAGGGCTTCAGAACAGCGAGAGTTCGTGGAGTGTCGCTGTTTCTCCTCCTGCTCCTCCGTTGAAGTGAGCGCAGACCACAGCGGGTTTACTACACGGAACCTAAATTTTGATTTAAAGCTTTCGTGACTGCAGGGATTCATCTTCTTGGTTCTTTCGGTAAAGTCACGTAGAAGGGAAGTAATACATTAATAAAAATAAAACATAATAATATAATTATCACGACGTTACGGCCACAACGCAAGCAGCCGTCCTCAGGTGAAGAAACAAGTCTGTCGAGAAGACAGTCTATTTCTTCACCTGAGGACGGCTATTTTATTGTTTTATTTTTATTATTTTATTACTTCCCTTCTACACGGAACCTAGTTTGGGGTTGCATTGACCCTCAATCGGTACTTTCGTGATGTATCTCACTGTGTCTCTGTGGATGTATACGTGTCCCTATGACTCTATGTGGATCTATGTGCGTCTCTAAGGTTATCAACTATCTCTGCGTGTCGCTGTGGGTTTACTCTACAGTCGAAAGTTCGAGCGTTTGCATGGCCACAATGGCGCCACTGCGCTTTGTATTTGATGCATCATCGCTGTGTCTCTGTGGATGTCTATGTATCTCTGCGAGTCGATGTGGATGTTTGTGTGTCTCTCAGAGCATATTGTCTCGCCGTGTCTTTCCGTGGGTTTCCTCTACGGTGCATAGTTCCGGAGGAAGCACGGGGCCACACTCGCACGACTGACCGTGACTTGCGTATTTATTTTCTCACTTTACGCACGAGATGTCGTGCGCGTCGGCCTGGCCGGTGATGTCGCAGTGCGATTGGCGGTCACAGGAACGGAATCTTCGAGTGGGAGGAGAAGGGAAACTTTGAACGCCAGGAGAATGCGCGATGCTGTTCTGCGTCTCGAGTGAAAGGGTCCATTCGCGAGTTCCACGTTGTTAGACGCTTCTCTAACAGCAGTCAGCGTTCTTCCCAATGGGGGTGAGATTCTAGGATGGCGACAGCAGCCGCAGCAGCAGGAGCAGAGCGACCCAATGAGCGGGATCAGTAGTTGAGTCGAGTGCACAGCGCAATGCGCTAACCGCTACGCTACCACCGCCACCCAAGACGAAGATCTCCCGTATAGCCTTTGACAGCCTTTCGGAGCAAGCGCCGATAACGAGTCGCACCTATTCAGGGGCCGGCACATCACACGAGCGGGTGGGTGACCAGAAATCACTCGCGGCCGCTTGTGTCTCCCTAGTGGCGATGATGATGATTTTACACCGCACCAAGCCAGGTATACTCATTCGAGGTTGAGTCCACCTAGGAGAGGGGGGGGGGGGAGATCGGGACTCGAGTCGAGATGACGGTTGATGAAAGGCGACGTGGTGGTCACGGTTGGACCGAGAACGTGTCCCTGGCAGTGTGCAAGTCTCCGTGGAGCACTGTGTGGGTGGGTGGTGGGTGGAGGGGCATCATTCACCTTCAAAATAAGACAAAGGTTCCCCGTAGATGATTCACAGGCTGCTGGGGAAAGTGCTGTTAGCGAGCACCTCGTAAGGGTCGGCACAGCACACGAGAGGGATGCGTGGCCACCACTACGCCCGCCCGGCCGCCTTTGTCTCCCGAGTAGAGCGATGTTTACACACCGCACCAGGTACTCATTTGAGGCTGAGTCGACCTAGGGGAGGTCCAGGACCGTTTCAGATAATTGTTACTGGTGTTGACCGTGAGCGGGAATCGAACTTGGGTCGCCAAGTTTGTAGCGCGGCGCACTAACCGCTACGCTACCGCTCCCCATCCACTCTACTCACTAGCCACACAGACACAGACACAAACCACTATATACACTACAGACACAAACCACTATACACGACACAGACACAAACCACTATACACACAGACACAAACCACTATACACACAGACAAACCCAAACCACTATACACACACACACACAAACCACTCTACACACACAGGCACAAACCACTGCACACACACAGACACAAACACAAACCACGATACACACACAGACACAAACCACGACACACACAGACACACAGGGACACACACAGACACACGCTACCGTCGTCACCATCAGCAAACTTAGTTTGTGTCCCCAGCTAATTACCGACGCAGAAGAGAGTCATAAAGAACGGGGATAACAGCGCCCCCCACACACCCCGTTCCTCTCCTCTCCTCTCCCATCCCACCTCCCGCACCCCCCACCCCACACACACGCCATTAATATAGTTAATGCTATGTCGAGGCCATTTATTTTCACTAATTAGTGCTTGTTAGGTAGAAATAATTGCGCGTGTCGGTGTGATTGTGCCACACCGCCCCCTTTGTGTTTAATGTAATTGTATTATATAATTATTACTCCTCCTCTCGCTCGCTCGTGTTGTCGCGTGGGCTGCGCGTACCGAGTTTCATTGTTCACGCTTAATTGGTGAAGGTGTAACCACATCGTCGCCGTGTGTGTGCGTGCGTGTGTGTGTACGTGTATGCGTGTGTGTGCGTGCGAGTGATCACGGGACAGACTTCGGTGCCATGGTTTTGTTGAGATGACTGGCAGATGCACCACTCACCCAATATCTCACCCACTAACTCACTCACACACTCATCCAATCACTCAAACACCCACTAACTCACTCACACACACACTCATCCAATCACTCAAACACCCACTAACTCACTCAACCACTCACCTACTTATTCAAACACCCACTAACTCACACACCCACTAACTCACACACTCACTCACCTACTCACCCAAACACCCACTAACTCACTCACTCATACACTCACCCACTCACCAAAACACCTACTAACTCACTGAACCACTCACCTACTTACTCAAACACCCACTAACTCACTCACACCCACACCCACTCACTCAACCACTCACCTACTCACCCAAACACCCACTAACTCACTCACCCACTCACCCACTAACTCACTCACCACACGCTGTAGGTCACCTCTGCTCTCCCTGCTTCTTCGCTCACACTGCTCAACTCTGCAACCCTCTCTCCCATCATCAGCATCATTGTCATCTCCGCTCCATGACTCTCATCGATTGAAACTTTGACCGTGCTGTTTGTCGCTGGCCGCTTCACGTCTCTGCCCTTTGAGCGTGTCATCTCGGCAAGGGCAGTAACACAAAGTGGCAACTAGAAACATGACAAAAGATACACGAAGCACTTCCCATTTTTTTGCAAACGTGACCCGGATATTTGGTTGCGTCGAGACGTTGACCGTGCAACGGAAGATCCGGTGGTTCATCTCGATAAACGATGCAGCCTAAAGTATTTTTTTCATCATGTTGTTGTACAAACGCGCGAATCAGACGAAGCTAAGCCACGTGCAATGTTCCGAGTTGTGTTTTTTGCGAGTAATGCCGTGGACTTGACAGCTGTATGAATTACGCATAAACCTCCCAACGCTGTGGTTTATATTTGACATTGTCGTGATGGACAGGATATTTATAGATGTGGTTTTGAGGGTAAGCGCGTGTGCCGTGGAGTCGAACTCGGCCACCCGAGTTCGACTCCACGGCCACAGACAGCAGTGACGAATATCTGAATTGTTCTTGGGCCTCCCGTAGGTCAACTCAGCCTCGAATGAGTACCTAGTGTTGTGTGTAAACATCGTGGTGCTGGCCACCCACCCACGTGTGCCGTGCCGGCCTTCATAGGTGCTCGATAACAGCACTTGCTCCAACACTGTTCAGGCTATGGGGGGGGGGGGGGTGGGGGGTGGGATCGTTATCTTTAACCCAGCGATTTGTGTTCAACTCCCGGCTAATGCTAAATTACTCAGTGGCTACGTACGGTGCGAAAGAAGTTCAGCATACCTACACAGTGGTTCCCTCCCCTAGGTCGACTCGACCTCAAAATTAGTACCTGATGATGAAGGTGACGATTTTAATGATGTCAACGTAAATGACGACGACCACGATGGTGGTGATGATGATGATGATGCGACGTTGATTACCGTGACGTCGACCGTGACAATGATGATGTTCATGACGACGATGATGATGATGACGATGTTGATATTGATGACGATGTTGGTCTGCACTTCGTGCCCTCCGCTATGCACAGACGCTGGTGAACGTGGGAAACAACTTCGACGTGGAATCGAGCACCTTCATCGCTCCTCGCAAGGGCGTCTACAGCTTCAGTTTCCACGTGGTCAAGGTGTACAACAGACAGACCATTCAGGTGAGGGGGGGGGGTACGGGGGGCTGGGTCATTGGGGGTGGGGGAACAAAACAGAGTTATTTTATTGGTGGGCACCCCCATTGAATTGATAAACTGCGGTTCTCTGTGTGGGTCTATGGGTCTCTATGTTAGTTTATGGGTTTCTATGTGGGTCTATGGGTCTCTATGTGAGTCTCTGGGTCTCTATGTGAGTCTATGGGTCTATTATGTGAGTCGATGGGTCTCTGTGTGAGTATATGGGTCTATTATTTGAGTCCATGGGTCTCTATGTGAGTCTATGGGTCTATTATGTGAGTCTATGGGTCTCTATGGGAGTCTGTGTCTATTATGTGAGTCAATATGTCTATTGTTTGAGTTTATGAGTCTCTATGTGAGTCTATGGGTCTATTATTTGATGATGTGTCTTTGTGTTAGTCTATGGGTCTATGATTTGAGTCTATGAGTCTCTATGTTAGTCTATGGGTCTATTATTTGATTCTGGGTCTCTGTGTGAGTCTATGGGTCTATTATTTGATTTAGGTCTCTGTGTGAGTCTATGGGTGTCTTATGTGAGTTTATGGGTCTCTTATATGAGTCTATTGGTTTCTTATGTGTGCCTATGGGTATGTATTTGTGTCTGTTTTGTTTCCATCTAACTATCGGTTACAGCGTGAGGTTATGGGTCTGCATGTCACTATATTGGTCTCTGAGTTCATCGGTCTCTGTGTGACCATGGACCACTGTGTGAGATGATTATGATCCCTATTGAAGTGTATCGCCCTCGATGCGACTGTGGGTCTCCATGTGCATGAGACTCCGGATCTTTGAAAGCATTTGGGTCCAACAATATAGGTGTAGGGGTCTCCGTGTGGTTATTATACATTGGTCTCTGTGGGTCTCTGTCAGGCTCTATCGGTCTTCGTGTGAGCCTGTGACAAGCGAAACTAGAGCGCCGTACATTACTGTGTTGTCATTGCATAATCCTTACGTAAGTGCCATGTAATCTACACATGCACGTGTCATTTACGACGAGGAGGAGGAGGTTACTGAATCACTGGCAAGCGATTGTGAATTATATTTACGAGCAATCGATAGAACAAATTGCGCCCCGGAGCGACGCTCAGATGCTTAACCGCTGATCCAGTCGACATTACGATGTACGTCTTCCCCATAGCTATGCACGTTGGGCTCATATCGCATCACCCTCCCCCATCTCGTCGCATCGTGGAGGCTCGGCAGGTACTGAGTCCTGGCTTGGGAGTCCAGGAGGGGCGGGGGGGGGGAGGTTAACCCCCCTCCTCCCCACCACTTAGTCACAGAATTATTTTCCTGTGCAAATTAGCATTGAGGTGGCGATCATTCCCTGAGTCAGTACGTGGAAATTCCACGTTCCTATGGCGGGAGACGAGTGAATCCGCAGAGCAACCGCTGTTTTGGACTTTTCTACGAAGTGGTACCAATTTTACCAACAACCCCCCCTCTACCCCCTGAAAAGATGATGAGCTGAAGCAACATCTCCAACCAGGATTTGAACTCGCACCCTTTTGACAAAGTTGTGGGCCCGCTCACTCTGCCACTGATTCTATTCTCAGCACAAATGTGCATCAATGTTGGGGTTTTGGATACGCATATATTTTAACGTCTGCCCTCTCAATCACCGGCCAGGTGGCTCAGCGGTCGAGCGAGACGCTCGCAATCGGCAGTTAAAATATTCTGGGGCAGCGGATGACTCAGCCTATCATCTTTCCGAGGTCGATAAAATTAGTACCAATAAAAAAACTTCGAGTCTTGAGAATCGGGTGTATGAGCCTCCCGTAGTTGACGTAACTAATCAAAAATGTGAAACTCCTAGTGGCTTTCTAAACTCAATATATATTTTAAATTTTATCAGGTAAGGCCCACTGAGCTATTTAGCTCTTTTTCGGAAGCGACCTCGCCACAAATGATAGCGCAACTAAGTGGCTTATCACGTGGAAATGTCTCGCAGCCAAATACTCCAAACGCAAGTTTCTAAATGTGCAGGGAAAACCCGGAGGGGGAAAACTCCAAACACACCGCAGGCGTACAGGGTCGAGAATCGAACCCACGAACCTCCCGTACACCAGGCGAGGTAGTTAACATCTCATCGCCACCGTGGCGCCCTTCGGCCGCAGGTGAGCCTGATGCTCAACAGCTGGGCCGTGATCTCCGCCTTCGCGGGCGACCAGGACGTGACGCGAGAAGCGGCCAGCAACGGGGTGCTGCTGCTCATGGAGAAGGGGGACCGCGTGAACCTCAAGCTGGAGCGTGGGAACCTCATGGGCGGGTGGAAGTACTCCACCTTCTCGGGATTCATGGTGTTCCCCTTCTAATCGACAGGAGGTCGCTTCACTACTCGACCCCGCCCCTGGAGAGGTCGCTCACCACTCGATCGCCCCTTCTACCCTCAACACCACCACTGCCCACCCCCACCATTACCCCACTCGTCGCCTCCTCGTCCTTCTCGTCTTTCACCATACTTCACCATCATCTGCTAGTTACGACCGCCACCCTCCTACCGCCTCCTCTTCTTTACCCAACACACCTCAAACCCCACCTGACCCGAGCCCTGCGCGTGGGAGCTCCGAAGGCAGAGGGGGTGGTGGAGGGGTGGGGGAGACGGGGGAGGGGGCAAGGAAAGTTGTGGGGGGGGGGGGTCTCTATTGGAGGACGGTGGTGGGGGGGCAAGGGTGGATCCAGCGGCGTTGCGATGAGGATTGGCGATGGCTGTGGGACTGAGTCGAGTCGCATTGTGTTCGCAGATTTGTGAATGGTTTCAACACGCGCACGCACACACACACGTACACACACGTACACACACGCGCACGCACACACACACGTACACACACACGTACAGACACGTGCGTAAGTACGCACAACAAGAATGACAACGACGACAACAGCAGCAGCAACAACAACAACAGCCGCCCGTTCGTCACTGAGTGGTGGGGGATGTCATCATCGCGCCGCCCGTGCCAGGCTAGGTGCGCTTGCGGACCACGTGAAGTGGCAGCCGCGTGAGTACACGCTCATGAATGTACACAGATCTACGTGCGTGCGTGTGTGTGTGTGCGTACTCCCATACACAGACACGCGTATACAATGATGCACATATTCTCATACGTGTTTACTAAAACACTACATATACAGTCACACAAAATAAACTGTCGTAGACACACACGCACGGACACGTGTGTGTATGTTCCAACACATACACACATGGGTATACATTGATTCGTAAGAATATGCTTGCATGCAAATGCATATACAGTAGAGAATATATTTACACGATGTACAAAAGACAAAGATCCCCGTAAAGCCTGAATAGACTGTTCGGGCAAGTGCTGATAGCGAGTAGCACTTATGAACGCCGGCATGGCACACGAGGGGGTGGGTGGCCAACACCACGCCAGGCCGCCTTTGTCTCCCCAGTGGTGACGTTTACACGCCACACCAGGTACTCATTTGAGGCTGAGTCGACTTAGGGGATGCCCATGACCGGGTCAGATAATCGTCACCGGTGTTGTTGGCCGTTAGCTGGAATCGAACTCGGCGTAGCTGGGTTCGTAGGGCAGCGCGCTCACCGCTACATTCACACTACGTGCACACACACAGAGGACGTGTCCTCATCACACTCACCCACGGAGGGAAGGTAATTCCTCGTTTCCACCGCACGGCAAATTCCGACTTCGGCTCAAATTAATCATTCGCGTCGTAGTAAGGGGTTTATAAATAACACATTACATAAGCAGACACTATTATCGCCATCTCACCGGTCCTGCCTCTCGACGCAGCGCCAAATATCAAAGTGTCTCTTACCCATCCCATCAGCCAGCCACATGGCCTTGTTGGGAGTGCGTCATTTCAGCAGCATTCATTTCAAGACGAGATTACAAAATCAAAACTCTGGACCGGTTTCAACACGCGGTGTCTCATCAGCAGCAGTAGCAGCGGTCAGACTCGCTTGCTTAAATCGATGCTGGTGACCTGCCAGACGTTTATTGGCAAGCACGCGCTGTCGCTTTACGGTATGGGGCTTCGACGGAAAGTGACACTGTGGCATTGTATAGTTAGACGCAATCACCTGCATCGTTGAGTTTGAAACAACTCATTATATTTGGATGCTTGCGTCCTTCTTATATGGCACAAGGCTATGGCGTGGGTATAGTCAGCTGTAGCTTCACAACAGGGGGGTTTGCTGTGTGTTTCAACATTGAGTAATTTGCGAGTAATTTATTTTCACATTTGGACAATTTGAACAAAAGGGACACAAGACAAAGATCCGCCTGTTTAGCCTTAACGGACTGTTGGGGCAAGTGCTGTCACCGAGCACCTATGAAGCGGGGACTGTGGCACACGACGGGGTGGGTGGCCAGCACCGCACGTACGCACACACGCACTCACACGCACACTTACTCACACACGCACTCACGCACACTTACCCACACACGCACACGCGCACACACGCACACTCACACGCATGCCACAGTATTTTCAAATCAACTCCATGCCCATCAGTTGCCTCCAATCCTCTCCCTGCACGCGCGAACGGCGAGATATATGTATTTAATTATTTTTGCTATGATTACATTGCATTTTTTCTTAAATTATAAACAGGAGGGGTGGGTGATTGCGAGCGAAGAAAAAGCAATTGCTGTCGTTTTTGGATGTAATTAATTACGATTATCGTCGCGAATGTGTTTTTTGTTTTGGGTTGTTCCTCCGCCGACGAGAAGACTGTTGATGATTCATCGCTGCTCTCTTTCTGAGCGGGAACTCTGTTCGAAGACGAAAATTTCGGACCAAGTTGTCTTGAAGGCGCGCACGGCGAAGACGTGGCGACAGACGTGTTTGCGCGCGCGCGCACACACACGCGCTTGTGTGTGTGTGTGCAAGAGACTGAAACACAAATTGGGAATATATATACACACACACGCGCGCGCTGGTACTCGTATGCACGTGGATTAAATACATTTTAAAAAGCACATATACATGGCACACACACACACGACCAGATAAAGACACCCCCAACTGTATAGCCTCATATATGCTTTGGGGGCAAGTGCTGTTAGCGAATTGCAGCATATGAGTGGGGGTGTGGGTGGACAGCACCACGCCTGGTCGCCTTTGTCTCCCCGACCCCCCCCCCCTCCCACACCAGTGCTGATGTTTATACACCACACCAGGTGCTCGTTTTAAGTCGACCCTGCAGAGGCCTCGGAACCGGTTCAAACATTCGCTCCTGTTGTTGGTCGTGTGCTGGGAACTGAACCCGAGGTCTCCAGGTTCGTAGAGCAGTGAGGCTAATCACTACGCTACCACTCCACACACACACACAAAACACAAAGACAAAGATCCCCCGTACAGCCTCAATTTACTTTTGGGGCAAGTGCTGTTAGGGAGCACGTATGAAGGCCGGAACGGCAAACGAGGGGGTGGGTGGCCAGCACCACGGCCGAAAACACACGCACAGACAGACACACACAGACACACATACAAGCTGAACGCAAGCGCGTTATGGAACATAAGTATTTCCATAATGTGAGTAGCTATGAATAACTAACCATAGGCGTCCCATTGTAGTGAGGCTATGTCAATAGGATGCTATGCCGTATCTGTACACTGATGCTTGCGTCTCCTTAATCAGCCCCCATTCCCCGCGCGCGCACGTGTCGTGAAAGCTTCGTCTCCTCGTTGTACCTTCCTACCCGCAAGGGTTCTCACGCATATTCACACGATGAAACAAAGGTACCTCGCGGAGCCGTCCCAAAGGGTACGTCGGCGAATCTGGGCGATCGCCCCAGGCCCTGCGCTTTGGGGGAGGGGGGGGCACACGGTGTGGGAGTTGCCCTCGGCTACGCACTCCACCCCGATCGACGGCCCTGACCCCCCGTGCGGCGGCCCTCCAACAGGCTGTTGGGGCAAATACTGCTCGCGAATAGCAGCTATGTATGCAGGCACGAGAGACACACACACACGAATGGGGGGGGGGGGCGGGTGTGGACGGAACCACGTCCCAACCGCCTTTGTCTCTCCCCTACTGCTCATGTTAATCACGCGGAGCAACCGGTAACTAATTTACGGCTGAGTCGACCCTAGAGGTGTGACTCGGATTTTCCGCGTTTGTAGCGTGGTGCGCCTAACACGGCACCACCGCTACCTTACAACGTCATGCAGTTTATATATACACCAATACAAAAAGACAAAGATCCCCCGTATAGCCCTTAAGAGACGTTGGGTGCAAGTGCTATTAGCGAGCACCTAAGAAGACCGGCACGGCACACGAGGGGTTGAGGTGGCCAACACCACGCCCGGCCGCCTTTGTCTCTCCAGTGGCGATGTTTGCACATCGCACCAGGTACTCATTTGAGGACACAGACACACAGACACACGTGCAATCTATTATGCTCATCGCTCAGTGATCTGTGCAGTGCTTAACACTGGAGGTGATATTCAGCCCTGCTGACGATGAAACCCAAGGGGGGGGGGGGGGGGTGCAACAAAACGCATCGAAATAATCGAATAATATCGACGTATTTAGCTCGTCGTGCGCGCGTGCGTAATAATTAATAACTTTAAATTCATCTGCGACTCGCGAAAGTCTTCATCCAGCAGTGGACCGATCGTGGCGCATGGGGATGATTCCGACCATGACCGTTGTTGTTGTTGTTGTTGCTGTTGTTTCGTGATCCCCGCAGCGGCCAAACGCCGCTGCATTCGCCAAAACGTTGAAAAGGAATCGATTACTAATTGTTCAATTAAAATTGAGAATTTTTGGGGTCGCATCGTGCAAGTTAAATTATGGTTGTGTCGTAAACCCTCTACCACCCGACACAGCCAATTCATCAAGTTGTCACGTGGTGAACAAACTTGGCCAATGCTTAACAATCTGTTAGTCCGACGTTTCGCTGGCAGATACATCCAGCATCATCAGCGACAGCCTATGCGTTAAAAAAAACATGAATACCGAATATGTAATCGATTATTGAAGGGAATGTTGTTTGCTTTGATCTCGATAGGTGTACTCGCTGCACGGGGAGTACACGGTTTATCCTCCCCGAATGAAACGCCGATGATGAGCCATTCAAAGTGTCGTGTTGTTCAAGATGTCCCAGCATCGCAGAACCAACCACGAGCGCGAAATTCGCATTTTAAATGAACAAATTAAAAACAAAGGCAATCGCATAACTAATGTGGGCTGTCCGTCCCAGCCAGTCCTCGGAGTTTTTTTCGTTTTTTGTAAAACATGTTCAGCGCGGTTTGCCAACTCCACTGCTGGATGAGTTTTCAAGCTTCCTAAATGGTTAATTTACGCACGCAAAACAAAAATAAAGACTCTAAAGTTGTGTCCTAGTTGTAAGTGACCGCCGCCTCCTCCCTTCTGCACCTGAGCGACTGCTTGTGTCACCAGTAGAGTCACCGTCTGCGGAACTTGTTGGGTATCCGAAACAAAATACGACAATGGGTCCCACTAGCATGGAAGAGGAAACTCCGTCCGCGCAGTTCCAAGTAGCCGACTGTGCAGCAGCGAGCATCTGTGACCGTGCCGATGACTTCCAAGAAGAACGGAACCGGGCCACGGAAGTCTGCGTATTCATCCCTGCTGCTTTG